TCTAATTAAGGAGGATTCGTACCTCCCTCCATTTCAACTAACTAACTAACTAGTCACTCTTAAATACAAACATATCTAGCGATCTCAGTGAGATTCGTCTAGAAATATTAGTCCAGTTATGGAACTGATGACTAGTCCCTCATGGTTATGAAAGTATGTTAACACGTAAAATATAATCTATAATGAACCTTACTATAGCTACCTACTGTCCATTCTATGCATGCACAATGTAGAGAGTTATTTTCTAGATAATATTTCTCGCAACAGAATTGGTCTTATGACGAAAAGAAACTAGAAGGGTTCGAACAGTAATAAAGAAGCAATAACAAAAATTTAATTAATTTATTGAAATTTGGCTGACCATAGAACGCTCATCATGATAGAAAGATCATCAATGATCTTGAGAACTATTTGAATTTTTATTCAATTAGTTTATACTCCGTATATAATTTGTTGGACTGCAAGTGCCAGACTTAGAACTCGTGCCTGTCAAATTAGAAACGATGACTAATCGTGTTTATCCACAAGTAGCCAAGGTTGGACATACTTTCAATGCTGAAGTTCCAAGTTTTTTGTAACTTCATATATAAGTGACACTAACAAATTATTCAAATTTAAAGTAACATGAATTATTTTTTTGCCTGACTATTCATTTATACAAATATAATAATATATGTATTATATTTGATATGTAGTGATGTACAGTATTACCAAAACCCATTATCAGTTGACTTTGGAAATATTTCTTTCATTTTAGTATGTGTTTTATAGAATTGTTTACCAATCAAAATGTGATTATATTTTTTTTTTATTATTATTATTATAGTAGTGTAGTATTTTCAATTAATGACAAACATAACAAAAATCAAATTCTTATTTCTTTCTATATCTTTATGTCGTTTCTTGAAGAGATTTTATTTTATAGACATAAATTTTAAATTTTGCTACATTACCTCAGGTGCTTTCAAGCGAACATTTGTAGCACATAATCAATGCGTCTATTGCCGTTCCTTTCACCAGTTTTAGTATCGTTATAAACTCCACACTTAGTTGCAGTCCTCGAGTTAATAAATGAAACATGCTCCTAACTTTTGCTTTAATTGTCTCAAACAGCGCATAAAATATTATTTTTAATATATCAACTGTTGATTTGATGGCTTGACGCTTTTCCCATACACTTTTCCACTCTAAACGTTCGGTGGTGTTATAAAGATGTTCAGTCAAGTTGACGTTTTGATGGCTCCATACTCGTAAATAATCGGTAAACATTTGTTTTCCATTTTTATAATGCATGTGTGCGTCGTTCGCATTATTAATTCTTCGGTTTATTAATCCTGTTTGCGGTAGTGAGTGAGGAGCTATTGAGGAAAGCCTAAGGCGTACATATATGAGATACGGTATTCAATTATGTTGCCAGTTTACGGCTAAAACAATAACATATGCCTCCAGCTCACAGCCCAGCTAACTTAGTAGCTCCCTGGCTGCTCTGACGGCATTGGCAGTAGCTGTGCCACTTTCAAGCTAATAAAATTCCCAATTGAGTATTTTAATTTCGTCTTCATAAAATGTAAATATTGTATAACAAATATGCACAATGTATACACATAATTACGAGTATATCGGCAACTACGGCTCGTTTGGTTTGGCTGTTTGGCTTATACTCGTCTACACTCCTCAGCTCGTATTGTGCATACTTTGTTACTCGAACTCGTACTAATGCGGTTTCATTGCTCATAAATCATTGACTTGGAAATATTCGTAACCTCAGTTCAACATTTAACATTTCATAGGCCGTCCCGTACAGTACGGGGGGAGCTCGAATATATTTCACTTTGTTTTGTTTGCGTATTTGGTTATTTGGTATTTGCGTATATTTGGCTGATCTTTATCTTTTGTTGTCATATTCAACTAATTGGACGTCATAATTTATCGGTGCATTTTATTTACTCACTTTTATATAAAAACAAATTCTACTTTATTTCTAAATTTTATTTGGATTTTTGTGGTTGCAGTAGAAAAATAATTTCAGTTCAAATATCAAATGAAATTTTAACATTTATTATGACTTTTTGCAGTAGACGATTGGATTTGACTCAGACATCCATTTCAATCCCAATACTTAACTTTTAAGTAAAATAGAAATATTTAAGTAATTGTTTAAAAATTAAATAGATATTCGATAATAAAGATATATTTATTACGTACAAAAAATTTAACTGACAGCCTTTAAAAAAATTCTTTCATATGCAGTCGCTTAATCTAATCATCTAATAATCTAATCTAGATCTAATCTAGATAATCTAGATGCTTAATCTAATAAAGTCATTAAAAATACATCTTCAAGAGGTTATTGTGGTAAAATAGCCCTCACTCAATTTTTTTTTAAATTATATCATAATTTGCGCCAGCTGCTATTTATGCTTCAGTTTATAGAATTTCCAATGGAGATAGTCTCTCTTGGATTATCATACGTTTCTAGTACGTCTCAATCAATTTTAACTATGAGAAGCTTCTTTCCGTCGAAGCTATACTGACTGAAACTGTGAACATGAATCTGGTTACTATATAAACATTCGGGAACACTTTGAATACGATTAATGCCATTATCAAACCAAATTGTTCAAAATATTTATTAAGTGCTTAGAATCCACAGTCGGTAACTTTTTCCGAGGCCCCTGTGGGCGCGAGACCGTCGGCAGCACCGACATTGCTGACGCCTAGCGACGCCACTGCATATATATAGTTTATATAATGAAAAACATATCTGCAATCTAATCATCGAAATAATTAAAAAAAAACCATTCCATAGGTTGAAATTTAGATAATTACGTAAGTCCTTATATAGCAAAAATCTTAAGAATCGATAACTAAAGAAAAGTTATATATGGTATATAGTCAAGTTACATAATACAGAAATATACATACGCAGTCAGTTAATGTAGTTATCGAAGAAATAAAAGCAGCCATTCCCTAGAATGAAATTAAGATAATTTCGTAAATTTTACCGTATATATTATATGCAAAAATCTTAAGAATCGATAACTAGAGAAAAGTTATATATTGCATATAGTCTATATAATACAGAAATATACATACGCAGTCAGTTAATGTAGTTATCGAAGCAATTAAAGAAGCCGTTCCCTAGAATGAAGTTTAGATAATTCTGCAAGTATTACCTTATATAGCAAAAATATCACGGATCTGTAACTAAAGAAAAGTTTTTGTTGTGCAAATTTTATATAGTACAGAAATACTCATATGCGATCGATTAATGTAGTCATCGAAATAATTTAACTAATCATTTTACATAATTTCGAAAATCTTTCTTTAAATTTAGTTTTTTGTTCACAAAACAGGAAAAACCTCTCCGATCTATAGCTAGAAAATAGAATGCTTTAATATTTATTATTTTTTTGCAAATATCGTATGTAACTATTTATGGGATAGTGTGTTATCTTACTACTTAACCTATGAATTATGTATTCGCATATTTCATATTTTTTAAAATGTTTCTCTTAAACGACTCTTAACATTATTGAACGTTTATTCAGGTAGAATTAAGGAAAAAGCTCTACATTACTACATACGAGCAGAACATTAGAAAGACCATTTCCAATATCTTATCACCTATCACTGTATGAGAAAGATTTTTAGTAGTTGTATTTTTTTTGTCAACGACTAAATTCTTTAACTCATTTTAATATTGAACTGCGTCAAAGTCTTCAATACATATATTTGCGATGATAATTACCAGATAATGTGTCTAGAATTCTTTCTATCTGATCTTTGAATCTGATCTTGTCTAGTTCGATAAAGACATGGTCAATTCATTTTGCCAAATTCTGAGATAGCGTATTATCTTGACGAAACAAAATGGTTTTTCTTTTTGGACATAAAAAATAACACATCTCTATTAACTGCTTGAGACCAATTTACAGCTAAGACTAGAAAACAAACTTAATTTATAAAACTTAAATTAAATCCGTCCATTGAAATATGATGCTCACATAATAACGCATCAACACAATCCAATAATAAATTCAGAGATATAATAATATAATGCTTTAAGGGTTAACGATTGCAAACATTCCCCTTCCCCAGACATTTTGGAATCAAATGCCGACAACTGATCTTACTGTTTAATTTTATAATTAACGGATTCATATAGTGTCTTACATCTACAAAGGTGTAGTACTATCTTATTCTTCTTTGTTTTTTCCTACGAATATATATTTTATTTTATTGCTATAATAAATATATAGCATTTTTATAATCATAGATAAACTGAGATGTTTACAATGATGGAAATAGAAGAGGAAATGTTTGCATATGGTCTTTAAAAAATCTTAATACTATTATCTTCATGAAGATAAGATTATTCCACTCCACGCTCTGAATTATTATTATCATTAATTTATGTTTAATTTATTATTATTAAGTTAAAAACTACAAGAACAGTCCTAGTTCTTTTATCTAATGGCGTATTCTTTACTTTAATCTTATAATTGTTATCACTGCTATCGGAACAAGATCTTGGCATTATTTTTCAATATTGATACTTGAGTTAATGATGTTACTGGCAACTTGATGCGATAATATACAAGGTTATGGCCTGACTCAACTAAAGGAGAAGTATGGTATTAGTATCTTAGTAGTTTCCTAAAATAGGTTGTTTAATTGATATCCAAATTCAAGCAAATCCGAGTTCATCTAATATGCACAGTTATGGTCTGAATCAGCTAAAGGAGAATATGTAAAGTCATTTAATAGGTTGTTTAGTTGGTAACCGAGTTTATACAACTTTGTCTTCACGTTCTGGCCTTAATTCGAATTTTATCTTTCAGGTTTTTGTTTTCACTAGTGTTTAAATATTTTTCTTTTAATATACATATAAGAAGGATTCTTTTGGGATGTTTATTATTTAATGATATTTAACTGTTTGTTATTTAGACTGATCCTCTATACTCGATATTATAATGTAAATTAAAAAAAAATCTATATAACTCGAAATAAGTATTTATTGTATATTTATGCCGCGATTAATGTAAACCATTAAAATATCAGTAACGTAAAAAATAAATTATTAGAAACAAGTTACTTCCTGAAGCATTCCATTATATACCGGAATGTGTAAGTTAAAACGTCAAACTCATTCTTCAAATACATACACATTTTATCAATTTCAGTAGTTCTTAAAACGGGTTGCAGTCCTAAACCAAAATAAATCATTAAATAGAAAAAAAACAAAAATAACTTAACCACTTACGTCTACGTTTGATTAAGAGAAGATAGACATTATATAACCCTTCTGTCAGGCGATGCTTTTCGTTCTCCCTCTTTATCCATTGAAATCTAATTTTCGTCAGATTTTCTTCCAATTCATTCACCTCACTGCAAACCCTAACGAAGGCACGCTGGAAAAAATCCATTTCATTCTTCATTTGCATTAATGAGTTCGCAATGTCACGAGTGATTGTCACTAACTCCAATTTCATGGCATTGAGTTTCAGAATCAGGCTTTCATTCATATCTTTTATATCAACATTCGCTAACACTAAAATAATAGAGAAATAGATTAATATACATAATATACATATACATAAGTAAAGTAAACATATTTATACTAAGCGCATCCATCTTATTAATAAAAGCATCAGCCGTGCCATATTTAGGATATTCTTTTAAAAACGCATTCATGAAATCCTCATAGATATCGTATTCGTTAACGGTGTTCTGAAATTGCACTCGGAAGAGCTTCAATGTTGCCATGCTGCTTCTATGTTCTTTACTCTTTTCTATAGCCTTTTGTTGAACTAGGGCTTCTTGATCCTTAATTGACCTTACGGACTCTTCCTTCTCTTTTAGTTCTTTCAGTTTTAACGCACTTTGAACGAACTTTTGTCGCAACATGAGCTGATCACTGCATAACTCTTCGTGACGATTGCTATTAACTATCTCCAAACGTTTATTTTCAGCAAGTACTTGTTTTTGGATTTCACGATAAATCTCATATTCCCTCACACAAGATAAGTAGAATGATTCCGGTGTTTCCGGGAAATTATCCTGATTCGCTGGTTTCCTTCAGTATTCATTTATTAAAAATTATACAATATAATTGTAAATGATCAATACTTACAGAAAGTCAGTCTCACAACATTCTTTTGAGACAATGAACTCTGCAATCGAGGTAGTAACTTTTTCCTCCAATTTACCGATAACGTCGAGCCTCTCCTTTGGTTTCGTACGTGGCATCTTTAAAAATTGATTCAGAAATATATGTCTGTTGATCCGTATCCTTATCTTCAATTGAAAATAAATTTTAATAAAACTAATCAGTATTGTAATTTTTTTTTAGTTTTGTAAGCATACTATGATCGAAAATTTTGATACCATAAATTACAGTTTCATTCATTTGATTAAAATTAAATTTATGATTAGTAATACAGAAGTAATTATTATTATTATTATTATGTATGAATTATAGTAATTAGTGTCTATCAGCGTATTTACTCAATTTTGTAGATGGGCCTATTAGCGCGTCACTGGGAATATGAGAAGATTTTGAGGGTTATGTGAGTAAGGCAAGGGAGTACAGTTTTGCATATCTATTGATTGAAATTTTAACTGGTTTAGTGTTAAATTGGGGTGTGGTTGTCTAATTTATCGAAAAGTGTCTATGTTCAAATTTATTTCCAATAAGTTTCCTATAAGACAGAGTAGAATTCTACACAGCTCTTTAAATTCACGTATGCATTTCAAACTTACGTGCTTAGTAAAACACATTCTGATCTCTTGGCAAAGTTTTACAGTCTCGAAGAATTATTGGTTATAATTGAGAAGAAGGGCCGGGAACGATGCAAAACGGGAACTTACAAATCAAAAGAAATGATTAAAATTTAGTTGAAGAGACGCTAATTGCCTGATTATAAAACTGATATAAGTAAATAGGAACCTATTTGGAAAAGCTTTGTAACAGTTTTTATGGTAAGTGACAGCGAGACAAACCAAGGCTGCGTTTGAAATGATGTAGATCGTAGCCTAAGGGCAGTTTTAAAGTTTGTTGTTAGCAATGGTTACTGTTTTTTTATATACACATCTATATAAGAGGTTTGGTCTTACTATTGTTCAGTGTTTCGGTGGATAACAATAATCAAAAATCTGATTGTAGTTCTATATGTTATTCTTCAGCATAGTTATACGTAGACATGCTTATATCATTAGATTTTAGACTGATTCAATTAAAATATTAACACTACGGATGAGGTCCCTATTATAATTTATTTACTCCATAAACAGAATAAAACACATTCATAGTATGTTCGCATTGCCTTCTTTAAAGCAGTTTATGATTAGATTGGATTAGTTTTTAATTCAGTTCGGTAATGAAATTGATTAAGCTTACAAAGATATCAAGAAAAATTACAGCAAAAATGTCAAATTCAGCATTGCAAAATATATTTCTTAATAGAAAAATTATCAAAATTTGACATATTTGACACATGAAAAAAAATATAAATACATAAAAAAAAAACAAGTCAAACAAACAAGAGTTAAAAATATTTTAAAGTTTTTTATAAATAAATATTAAACACAAAATTTTTTGAATTTTCTGAGTTTTCCATGATTAATTAAATAATTTCTTCTAATAATACTAATAAAAGTAAATATTATCTATTAACAATTAAAATTTAAACAAACAAAAGTTCTTTTAACACTTTCCCAGAGCTTTTGGACATACTATATAAAAGCTCTTTTACATGCATAAATCAACTTATGCCAATGTAAACGACCAAAACTTAATTTCATTAATGGAAATTGATTTAGCTGCGGTGGGAACGTGGCATTAGAATCATGCACATAGTAACAGAATCAGTTACATTTTTTTCCCTCAGCTAATTTTAACTAACGAAATCAATGATAAATCAAAAACTACACAAAATGAAGTGAAATAAATTTTATTTTATTTTATTTTATTTAAATATTTAATTTATTAGATTTCTTCAGTGTATTTTAATTGACTCCATGTTAAATTTGTCGTGCTCCCGTTTATCTTTATATGCATCCCACCATATCTAAGCTACTTTATCTAAAGGCCATAAAAATTTATCTGTTAATGCATTTTTTAACGACACTTCATGGGAAAATACTTTAAAACAATTTTCATAGCTTTCCCAACCAATAAAGTTCTTAAGTTGAAGTCATAAAACTTTCGAGTAATTTTTACAGCCTTCCGAAAGAAAACCAATAAAATTATATGGGACCTTCAGCTTTAAATCTGGGCTTAATCAATAATTTTTCTCTTTGTCAGATACTCGTAATTTTGAGCTTAGGCTTCTCTACAACAGGTGTAGATTTATTTCAACCTTTTAAGCCACGAAATTTACGAATTTTATATTTTAATTTCTTAAACTTCGAAGCAATGAAACAAGCACAAATGGCAATAAAATTAGTAAATAATTTAAATTTCAACTAATTTGAATCAATAATTAAATCGGATTCGATTTTAATTATCATAAATATATTTTCAACTATTTTTCATAATTAAAATTGAATTAATTTGGTTTAATAAAGATTTCGAACTTGTTTCAAAATTTTTAAGAGACGTAAATTTATCTCAAATTTCCGACTGCAATGCACCAGTGGCGTAGCCGGGGTTGTGCCAATTGGGGGATGATACCAAAATACTTTTTTTGCATCATTTTCACAATTCATTAAATCTTTATATTTATATCCCTGAAAATATTGTCAGTCAGGGAGGAATAGGTGAGATCTGCCCCCTTAACTCCCCTTTTAAATACACCAGTGCAATGCACACTTTTTTTTATTAATTGTGAATTTTTAATATAACAAAAATTAAGTTAGTATTTATGATAAATATTTATGGTATTTATATATTTATTATATATTATACGTAATTAATTATTGTCAATAACTATTAGTAAAAAAAATTAATATAATTAATATGTAATTTAAGACACGAGTTTATTAAAGAAACCAATCATAATTAATATGTATATAATTAATAGATTAATTAGTTTTTATTATGAAAAATAATAAATAAAAATTATTATAATAAATTGGTATATTTTTAAAATATTTCTTATAGATAAATAGTACGTCAGCCGAAATATTTACAGTTGCCATCTCTTTATTTCAATATTAAAAAAAAATTTAAATTAATTTTTTTACTGAAAAAAATCCATGTTATTGTATAACCCATGCTTTGATTATTGCAGATGCAGCACAAGGTGTGAGTTGGGACTAATGTTAGAAGGGACTAATGAAACAAACGTAATAGCTAGACGAGACGATACCCACGAAATTGTATGATTTTAATATATATATATAAAAATTTTAAAAATAAAGTTAAAGAATAGAATGATGGTACTTGGGATTCTGGGTACTTGGAATTCAGTTAACGTCTATTATAGTTTCCTCTATTTTGAAACAGTATTTTTTTTAGTTTTCTTTTTGTATTGCAATCCATTTTAATAAATGGATTACGTAAATATACAATATATGTATATAACTAGTGTCTTGTCATTGATTTTGGATCAACAGAATCTTTTGTGTTAGCAACCAAACTTAATCTATTAATAAACATTCAGGATTTCCAATGAGGACCAAGACATCTCACTTGAAACTTTTTTAAAACCTTATAAGGATAGAAGCTTGTGTCCGTGAGGTCTTCTTCTGACTCAAATCAAAGCTGCACAGTAACAAAAACAAATGCTTCATATGTCTCTAAACAGAATCTCTTCAATCTCCCTCGTCAAATAGAGCTATCTTGTTTTGGATGATAACGCGGGCATTAATCATTTCTAGATTAACCAGGCTCTATTCTGCTCTGCTGAGAGCGAGTGCCTTACAGCACTTGTAAGAACGAACCAGCTTTCAGACCTGCCAGTATTCAAGAAAGTCGCACCAACATTGACTTCTTATATTTAAAATGCAATTCTCTATCTCTATCAAAGACTCGAAATAAGTGCCTAATATAATACTTGTGAGCTTAAGCAGAATTGGTCAGCTCTAGTGCAGCTGACCTATACCCTGTCCTTTATTACCCTGTTCTTTATTGTTACCTGTTCTTTATTGTTACTTGCTGTGATATGACAGAAGTCCAGTCAATTTCTCGAAGAGAACTTCTAAGAGGACAATGTTTCATTTGCTGATGGCCGTCTGTATTTGTATAAATATGGGTACCTTTAAACGTTAACACCAGCACATTTGATGCTCTAATTATTGTAAGCACCATAAGTACGATGCACGATTTCAAAACATATGAAACTTTTTGTTTCATACATATGTACTATAAAATAATATCTACGTGAGTTTAGTACTACGTCCGACATATATATTTCTCACCATATACCCGACGCAAAGACCCAAACAGTTAAAAAAATTGACTTTAATTGTTGAATCAATTTCACATAATATAAAAACCATAAAGCCTTTTATAGAGTTGACGGCCACATTTTTTATGGAATGCGTAGGTGCTAGTCTATTTGCAAATCTTTGTGCCTTTTTGCAACCTTTGAAACTATTTGCAAACCTAGTACAGCAAGTCTATTATATAGAGTCTTATTAAGAAAGATTGGGTAAATTGTATAATTCGTACACCCAAAATGTTAAAGAATCGTTGCAATTAATCTATGAAGCTGTTATAAGACTATGTTGAGATATACATTAATCCGTAAAACCAATGATATATGATTTCCTATGTATGTATTTCTAACAATTAATTGATTTAATCCACTTGTATGTATCATTTTTGAAAAACTTGCCTGTGACCAGGGATATCTGACTTTATGTGATCCATTTTTAAAATATAGTATTTTATATGATTGAAAGAGTTTTCAGGTAGTGAGTCTATTGGCAGTCTGTATCTTAAAGCGATATTTCCGTGTCAGTCAAATTTCTTACACAACAAATCTAAAACAAGAGTTCTTTTTTACAATATTTTAAATTCAATTTAAAAATATATATGCTTACCTTGCAAGACTCAATTACCACATGAGGAATATAGGTGCGATAGAAAGTGATTACTGTCGACACTGTCATGAGGAGAAGGAAACATATTCTATGCAACTGCCCAGCGGCGAACGTAGACTTGAGTACCTTGGAAGCCGAATCTTAGATCCAAATCAAATAGGTAAAATAAAACCCACAGCAATTACGAGATTTATATATAGTCTAGAATTGTTTTAGTTGGGGTACACTCATAGCCCATTATTTGATAATAACAATACAATTGTCCTGTCCTCTATGCATCCTGTAAAATAATATTAATAATAATAAGTTTAATAATTAATAAGTTTGTTGTTGGTACCATGTATATTATTATGTTATTATTAGACTAAATAAAGTTAGAATTAAGTTTTAGTTTCAAAATTCAAGCATTTAAAGACTAAGCTAAAATAGAATTATATTTAATTCTATCAAATCTAAACCAGAATTCAATTATCTGCAACTTTCATATTTGAAATAAACTTGCTTGTTTCTGCTTTTTGTGAAATATTGGTGATGAAAGTCATCATTTTAACATAAGTATAAGTCCTTGTTACTGGTAATCTGAGTCTGGGTCTACATCACGAACGAATGATTTTATTGCGCTCTTAGGATTGAAAAAATTTGTCTAGCATTATATTCCTTCAAAAGTAAGAGAAATTAAAGAAAGGACGATAGCATATTATATCCTTGGTGTTATTATGACTCGATGTAACTAAGGACGTGTGCGAGTTAGGCTTAAGTTGCGTTCTAAATGAGGGAAATTCTAGTTGTGCCGATAATGTAGTGATGTGTCGATATGTGTGATAAATGGCTGCATGTGTGCAGTGCAAAAAATTCCAAAAAATCTCCTATTTGGTTTAGCATCAACTTAGTCTAACTCGCACACGTCCTAAGTTACTTATTTAATATTTTTGAATATTAAAATAGTAATAAAATTTGCTGGTGGAAAGCACTTATGTATACACGGTGTTACTCAAAGAAGCTCGTGGAACAGACCTATTACATTATTCACGCTTTTATTTATTTAAAAAAAATTTATGTTACCAAATCCGCCCGAACCTTTGAGTAGCTAGTACTACCCATAAATAAATTATATCAGTCAATAATTTTTTTAATATATAAATACCAAATAAATTGGTAGTATTTATATATATATTACTATTAAAATTAAATTTTAATTTTAATTAGATTTTTTTTTCATATCTATTTAAAATTTTAATTCTAAGTAATATTTTTCTCGACTTTATCTAAAATATCCGAAATGATTCATTTAACCCTTGAAAATTCATCCCACCTGTACGATTTAAGGCGACACTCACTGTAATTTTTTCTTACAATTTACATTTGTCAATGTTCCCTTATGCTTGTAACTTCTATTCTTATTGGATTAATTTGTTGGTAACCTGCGTGTGAACATCATCACAACAGAAATAGAAAAATAGAAAAAGAAGATTCTAAATCAATGACAGCACAAAAGAAACACTAAAATGCAGCCGCATTTGTTACAAAAACAAAGCACAAGTGTTTCTAATAATAAATTGTCGGCGTCTTTATGGGGGCTTTTGTCACGCTTCACAGTTCAATTATTAAGTTGTCAACAGTCCATTGAATGATGTTAATTTTATTCATATTTTGCTTTAATATTAATTATTAACCAAGCACAGTAATAGGAAAAAATTCTGAAGACAAGAAAAACAGCCAAAATTTGAAGAATTTTTTACTACTTTTCACATTGTTTTTTATTTTTTAACTGCACAACTGTGATTCTTATTGGTTTTTAATTTCAATATATAAAAAACCACAAAATAAAAAAGAAGTCGCCGACATAAGTGGCGCCTTTGAGAACACAAATTCCTGTTATGTATATAGACACGATCAGTTATAAAAACAATCATTTATTATATCCATTAAATATAGTAGAACCAAAAAATTATAACTTTAAATTATTTTAAATAAAGTAAAATTACCACAAATCAAATAATTAATTTATATATTTTATTAATTTCGTATTTATTTACATTATACAGAGCACTTGTGAAGTTAACTTATGAGAACAGTTTGAAAAAATGTAGCGGAGCCAGCAAACTAAAAAATTCATGTAAAAGAGTGAGAAACTTTCAAACTGTTGATTAACAGTTTTAAGTTTGACAGTGGGCTTTAAAAGTATTAAATCAAATAATGTGAAATTTTAAAATCTGCATTATTTTAATTCATGTTTAACATATCAAAAAGTTAATATTTCCTTGAAATTTATTTTTCAATACGATTCGCCTTCATATTTTTTCTTTATTTGTACCAATATTTGCACATATGTGTGGTATATTGAAATATTTTGTTACCGAATTCTCTCATTAAAAGTGATTTAAAAACAAATATTCTATTTTGACAGTAAGTTTTAAACATTTATGTACAGATTTTGTAAAAAAAAATACGACTAATTGCTATAAAAGGCGTTTTCAGTGGCTCGAAACTCTTCTGCCAGTAAAGAAAAAAGTATTACCAAAGCAATAAGCGAACTATTGCGAACCTTCATTGGAAATTCCAACGAATATTGCGATCATATGTCAAAAATCACATGCAAACTAAAATTCAAACAATTTATGAAATTCAAAAATTTCATAAATTGGAAAATTGGGGAAAAATAAAATATATTAGTATTTTGTTTTGAAACTTCCAACATTCTTACCAATCCTTTTTATTCTGAATTCATTTTAATTTTCAATTTTATATTATTTATTTTTATAAAAAATGTTATTTGCTTGCATTAGGTGCACATATGCAAGATTTGCTTTTCGCCAAAACATAATAGTTGACAGATTGCGACAGTGCTGCCAATGTCACGCTTTGCGAATATAGGCTAGTATGAGTTTTTTTTGTCAAACTTGAAAGCCACCGAAAACGTCTAAAATTAATGATATAATTAGCGATAATAGCGTAAAATCGTTAATTGATATAATGTGGTATCCATTATTTGGTGCAACTTTGTTTAGAATGCGGTAATCTCAAATAATTCCACAAAATACCGCAGTATATGGTAGTCAGATGGTTCGAGCTATATGACATTAATGCATTAAGTCTTTCCAAGCATGTGCCGTCAATTTGTTAAGACTTATAAAACTTGCATGTGGCCTGGTATTGTTATATCGAAACGCAATTTTTACTCTTGGTGAATTCTAATCTCTTTTCTTTGCTCATGCGGTGCACTCCCAAAATAAAGGCTTACTTAGCTGTCATAAGATGTAGAAAATATTCAGCACGAATAATCCATAAGGTAGAATTGATCACCTAATGGTTTTCAAAACACGTAGACATATTAAATGTGAACGGCATAATGCACAAAAAGTGATAAAGATATGAAAGAAAATTTACAACAGAATATTTTAAGGTTTAAAATAAATTCAGTTGATTCTTATGTGTTTTCTTGTTTATATTTGAGCATGAATAATTGAATGTTTTATTGTCAACTAGATTAAACGTATCAGCTGATTGCTTACGGTACAACTAATTTGACCACTCAGCCAACAAACGTCAATCTTATTTTCATCAACAGTTTTAATTATGATCAGGTCACAATGCACTAATTACGGTGGTGTTGCAATAGACTTATTTCTCAACAAGTATATTAGAAAAACCGTCAATTTATTAAATAATTTTAATTTTTATACATATTTTTATAAATATATATATAAATTTTTTTCTGCGGCCAAAATAAAAACTGATTGAAATCAATTGCTATATTCAGCAATCTCGGGTAAAGAACTTAGAATATAATAAAAAAGCAATCAGTTACTCTAATGGAGAGAACAGCAAATATGCCCACAATGGGTAAAATAATTTAAAAGAATTATTTGGAATTTAAAGCATTTCAGGTTGAGAAATTGTCCTAATAAACGCTTTGAATCAACAATTGAATTAATTAATTTTTTTTCAGTAGCTCGAATACATCCAAAGCCATATTGTGAGACTTGAACCCAAAAAAACCATATCTTAGGAATGCAAAATAGACAAATTTCAGTTATTAAACTGCAATGGCCAAAAGCTGAAAGTCGAATCCAGTAATCAAGAGAAAGGCACAAATTAAAATACAGAAGGCTTAGTATTTAGATAACAAATATATCTAAGTCAAAATTAGAGATAAGTGAAAGGAGAAAGTGAGCATGTTCTTGTTAGGAGTGATTACTGATTAAGAGCAAACTCTGTGCAAAGGGTTATTGTAAACATGATTCTAGAACTGGATTGCAATAGAGACACTTAAGATGTCGCTCATATAAAGGGCTAGGTATTTGGGGACTTGCATATTATTAATCATCTTTTGGGGACTTGCATCTCATATTATTAATCATTTTTTAAATAAAGCTGTATAATATTTGATATCAATCAGCTATAATTTTATGAAGCCATATAATCGTTAATGCAAAAACTTATAAATTAGTATTGATGACTACACTTAAGAGTGCACAGACTAGCGGATTATATACCAGAATCTTTAGCAAACATATTATCATAGCCTTACGTCAAGGAACGTGAAAGGAGAGAAAAAAATTAATGCTCAAATTTTTTATTAATTTAATGTAAATTATAAATAGCATAATATTATAAGTTAATAATAATTTTGGAAGATCTTATTACATTTAGAATAAAAAAAAATTTATACTAATAATATTTACTTATTAAATTTAATTTATAAATAATATAAAATGATGATAAAATCTATATAGATAATTATATTAACTCACAATCTAATTACATTGAGAACAATGAAAACAATTTACACTCAAATATTTTAATCATAAAATGTTAATTTTAAATAAAACAATATAATATAAACTATACAGATAGTATCTCAAGATCTAATTACATTTAGAAGAGTAAAAATAATCAATACTAAAATGTTTTACTCATTGAATATTAGTTATAAGTAATATATTATAATACAAACTGCATAAATAGTAATATTATCTTAAGATTTAATTACATTTAAAACAATGATAATACAATAACATATTATAATATAAACTATAAAAATAAAAATATTATCTTAAGTTCTGATTACATTAAATTTTAACTGTGATTTAAATTTATATGCGTTATTTTTATAATAAAGTAAATATTTTTAAAATTTACGTATATTATATAAAAATAATTTAATCATAAAGAATTTCTTATTT